TATGTTGGAACGGAATGTCCAGCGACGACAATGAGAGTTCGTCGAATTTTTCGATTGTATTTTCGTGATACAGCGGCCGGACAGTGAAAAGTAATGGCCATCAAGAAACTTAACGTTAGCCAAGAGCAAGGCGAGAACAATCTAAAACGAAAAGTATAACGATCGCGTGTGTTCGATTGTTAAATTTCCTTCTCTCTCTTTCTCTCTCGCAAACACCCTTATTTCCTCTCGCGCGCAAACGTCCGCTATTTTTCCACTTTTCTCCACCGGCTATTTCTACTCTACTCTCACACTTCTCGCGAACCGAGAGCTTGAACTTCCCGTATCGAGCGTTTTCGCCTCGCTGATTTTACCGGATTCAGGATTCCGATCGCCTTCTACCGCGAGGACTTCGGGAGCGCTTACGAAGTCGACGGCGCCGAAGTAAAATGTCTACCTTCCGTAGGATCGTCTCCTTCGGATCCTAAGACGGCCCTAGGATCGCGCGTCAGGATCTTTTCGTACGCGACCGCACGTGGGATTTGGAAGGAGTCAAATTATCTGAATATAATTTAGCCGTCCGAATCGGATGGATAGGAGAGATCGCTGCTCTCAGGGATAGGGGATCGCGATCAGGAATCGATGTATCCCGGTGAGGTTCTTTTAACCGATTCCAGATTTCAATCAGAAAATCTGAAGCGTAGAGAGATTTTGGCCCGAGATCTTCTTACGCACGATGACGTCGCGATCGATCCATCTATCAGCTGATGTGAATTAGAAATGTTCACGTCAATAAATAGGAAGATTTGTGTGTGTTGTGTATGTGAAGATTTTTCTTCTAAAGATTATTCAGAAAGCTCTCATAATTTAAAGATTTTTTGAATAAATATTTATTATGATTAAAATTGAGCAAAATATAAAATATATTTATACGATATATATATATATATTCATTATATACTTTATAAATTAATATTTAAAACACTGCGATCAAGTGATATTATTTATATATTATTTTTAGTTATTTATCTTCTTTATTCTCGAAAATATTGAAATATTTTGATGCAACAATGCATTCAAATTGATCATATACATACGTAACTCATTTTCATTTGTCGGATATTCGACAAGTTGGAGTATTGACTAGCTTCAACTTCGCCAGAATTTCCGAAACACGAAGATTCTTTAGGCTTCTCGAGCATATAGCGTGTGATTTAACATGCAAGTGTTTCATCTAAACTTACAAAGCAAAGATTACCAGGGAATATTCTGTACACGCACGAGTTAAGGACCTTTCGCGCATCTTCATGATGTGGCATAGTATGAATTTACTTCGTTCGCGAATGTATGTATGCTTATATATGCGAGTGAAAATGCAAGCTTGAAATAGAATTAATAACATTGTCTTCGGCAATCAGAAAGCCACTGCTATGCGTGATTGTGCATTACATCGTCAAAGTATCGCGAAATTCGCTATGTCATCTCTGTATCGCATATTACATCGAAATATATTGCAGATGCAAAACTGACGCAAAATGCAATGTTAATATGATTGAGATGACATGATAAAGAAGGAAACAATAACAATATGACGAATATAACTAAAAATGTAGAAATATTGCGTTAAATATTATATTCTATTTTATAAATAATTATCTTTTCTAGAAAATTATTATATTATATCCTATTACATATATTATAAATATTTATATTATATATGTATATACATACATATACACACAGAGAGAATTTTCTTTTAGAATTTATCCTGAAAATCATGATAATTATAATACATAATAAATTTTAGTATATATATATATATAGTAAAATTAAACATTTTATATTGTATTGTGGGAGATATTAATATTTTTTATTGTGGTAAATATTAATTAGAGAAACTCTTATAAAATTCTTCCAATATTATATTGTCCTATATGATTATCATGATTTTCAGGGTAAATTCTAAAAGAAAATTCTCTCCGTGTTTTATATATAATATTATAACAAAAATATATAAATTAAAATAAAAATATTTTTAATAAATGTAATATACTTCAAATAATGTTTCAATACTTTATAATTCAAGAATATGAACGTTGCATATGTTTTCTCTATTTTCATCATGTTTATGATTTCCTATCACGTTCGTTCGACGAGATAACATGTAGATTGTGAATATGTTTTCACATTTGCGTTCGCATATTTCGAGTGCATCGAGCTGGTATGCCCGACTGTATTTTTGGTGTCGTCTTGATCAGCGATATCAAGCTCGGATATATCGAACTCGCAATCATTTCCGGTTAGCGAATTGACCGCAGTGATGGCGCTTGAACGTGACAGCGTGATGTTATGTGTGGACTTTATTGAAAGAATAGATAGAGAAATGAACAAATAGATGGTTAGGTAAATCTATTTAAAAGATCTATTTTTAAATTATAAACCATTGTTTAAATAAAATGAAAAATATAGTTGCATTTACTTATGTTAGACACATTATAAAATAATTGCAATTAACACACACACACACATATATATATATATATATATATATATATATATATAGACATAACAATTATCAATTTAGCTCATCGTTCTACTGTTGTATTCCAGTCGCAATATTCCGCCGTGATGCAATTTATGTTTCAACACGCGGCAATTTTATTTGCGAGAGAAAACAGCATTGTTTCCATATCTTCCGACTCACGTCTCACGCAGCCAATCACAAAGTCATATAAATACAAACGATTTGTCGCGTCAGAATAAAGTTACTCGTGTCTCTCTATTGCGAATATTGCTGTTAGATTTTCACGAGAGAGATATCGCCTTGATCTTAATGGCGAATAGCAGAGAACATCAGCGAGCGTGCATTTCTGCGCAGATTCGACTTTGTACGTACAAACGCTTTTACCGTTCTCGGGGAGAATGTCATATGTGTGATTGCGATTAGAAGCACGCAAACTGCAACTGTCTCATTCAACGAACCACATCTAACAACCGATCAATTGATACGATAATTAGCCTCCTACTGTTGCGCACGTTTAACGAGCTACTTTATATATACATAGACATCTGGACAAGGCAGTTCCCTTTCATGCCTATCCGCGTTTCCCGTAATCGCATATATACAGTTGACGTTTCCCGCTAAGTTTTGGGAAGCGCTAATTACGAGTGACGGACTTGCTCGTTAGCGTCCACCCGAAGTTTGCTGCACGTTTCGAGCGATTCGGAAACTAGAGTGATTATAACACAAATTAGCTCGTCAGAGAGATAAGGAAGTTTTTCGTCACGCCTGCGATGCACGCCATCTACAAAGTGGGTCAGGATGAAATACTTCGTTTGCTTCGCTCGAGATTTTCAGAGTAACAAGAAAATGATCAACTTTTATCACAGAAAATTTTTGGATTACTTATTTGGAAAAATTTATTGCGGAAAAGAATGGAGAAAGAATTAAATAGGCAAATGACACGGATCTTGACTTTTAAAATTTTATTTTATACATACATTTGTAATGTGCTTGTAATGCGTCTTGTTTTCGTTAAATTTATCATAATTTATAATACAATTGAAACAATGGGAATATAATCAACGGCAAATACATCTGGATTGGTGCTTTTAGCTATCTATTATTATTCAGTTGTATTTATTTGAACGTTTCAAAGATGGAATATATTTTGAAGGCTTTAGTATTCTCTCTGCGCTTAATGTGTTCGTTTATGATAATCCCGTGGCGATTACGATAATAGATCCCCGCAGTTGCTGAAAGATATATAAACCGTTTCGAAACGACGATAAATTTGCGTGTCTCTCAAAATGCTGACCGGTTTAGTGTATTGACTGAAATCCGCTTATGCTTTCATGACATTTTTATCGAAATCTGTGTTATTTTTGAACCTCATTAATGCGAACATCGAATCATATAAAATCGTTTTATTCACATTGAACATTGAGATTATATGCATCAAATTATTTTATATCAGCGATAAATTTTTGAATTCAAACAGTGCTTATAAAACAAATTTATATTTGTTTAATATCTTTTTATACAAATAGGTAATAAAGTCAATTTTTTATATTTTTTATATTTTTACGATTAATAATAATAAATAATTTAAAATATTAATACAATTTATTAGAAAAGAAAATTATATATGAAAAATAGAACTAGTACTTATTCGCGACATTTATCATTCCCGTAAATGTAAGTTTTAAATCTGGCAGCCGATCTTAATTACTGTCAAGTAATTGCCTTAGCTAGAAGCGAAGAAGTTATCGCGCATCGTGTTTCTTATCTCTTTCACCCGCCATAACTTTAAGTCTATCAACGAATCTATTTGTTCCAAATCTGCATCTGATAGATTTAATTAATTATGATTTTAATTCAAAAATGGAATTATGAAATATTTTGTCTCTTGATCTGATATCTACAAGTCTCTCTATTTGCTTTTTTAATGACAGAAAAAGTAACAATGAACAGTCTCATAGACATTAACAAGAAATATTATATACGCGATAAGGAATGATTAGACATTTGCATAAAAACAGAAATTGATTCAATATTTTAAATTTTATGAATAATTTTAATTTAACAAAAAAGACAAAAAAGAGCAGACATATATATATGAAACTTCTGTATATATTAATAATGAGTCAATCATTAAAATTTTTTCTTCTTATATTAGATTTTCTAAAAATTAACATAAGTATATTATTTTATATAAATTCAAGAAATTAAGCATGTCATGTCAGATATAGACAAATATTATTTATTCATCACTCTTTCGTGCTTATGCGAGAACACGGCGGGACGAAAACGTATTTCCATCTTTCCTAAACTGCCTTCTGGTCATCCTGGTATCCCCATAGTACGCTCACCCCCGTATCTCGATTGAAGCTCGCGAGCTTTCACGAAGATTATCGAGCTTGCACGAAGCACGGGTGTCGGCACATGGGGAGTGAGTCTGGATGTAGGGTGGATAGCGCCCCGACCGGGCAGAAGAGAAATAGGAAGGGGGTAGGTCGGCGGACGCTTGTCCGTGCGCGAAAGTTCGCTGGCAGCATCCAGTGACATCGCGGAGCTCGACGCGCGCGCATCGCTTATCGCGCGGGAGGATCGAATCCTCGGATCTGTTGCGAATTTTCTCCCGAATAGCTACCGATCGGAAACGTAAAACACGTGTTTAAAGATCCCGTTCGAGTGCGAAGAGATCGCGCGAGTTTTCGTTTGTTCCATCGTGACATCGAGTGACGATCTCTCTTGGATCCTCCTCCGCTGGTATAGTGTTGGTTCGCCAAGTGACGTACGCGGTGCTCCCGATTTATGACAAAAATCAAATTAAAAGAAGTCAATCGTGCGTGATTATCGGTGCTACGGATCGATAAAATTATAGTGCCGTGACGATGCGATACAGGCTCGAGGACGATGCGACGAGGAGATGATTCCCGGGATCGAGTGAGTAGTGTTGGCGGGAGGGTCGGAGATCGTTGCGACCGCCGATGACAGCCCGTGACACCACGTGTTCGCGACGTCATTCCAAGACGACGACGACCAGGGACGTTGGCGCCGGAACGATCTGTCGCGGTGATGCCGTGATGCGTGTAATAACGCGTGTGCAAGCTGCAACTGGCAGTACGTTTTGATCGAGTGTTAAGGGATTGACGGCTCAGGTAACGATCCTAATTCCGTTTATCTTCGTGATGCTGCTCGTGACGCGAATCTCGTAGTAGTTGTTTGTAGTGTCGAATATATGTGTGGAACCCTTGGATGAAAAACTGGAGATTATCCAGAGGTGTGGCTCTTGTGAATTTTTAATCGTGCTCCACTGTCAGATTTAGTATTTCGCTTTTATATATACATATACAAATGTATACGATAAATATTTATTTCCGTCTTATATCTTTATGCGAGTCACTTTAGTTCTGATGCAAGACTGATATTAGTTCTTTGATATATTTTATAATATTATTAAATATTATCTATTTTTAATCATTAAAAATGTACAATATTTTATATATTTTAAACTGTAAATAATTTATATATTTTAGAAAAAATAATTTATTATGATTGTGAGAAAACAAAAGTGATGGCGTTACACTTTGTAACAGAACAAATTTGAAACATAATGTGCCATTACATTTTTTAAATTTAAATCTTTTTAGCGTTATAACTTATCGTATGCATTCTAATTTGTACTTGTTCTCTATTTTTTGCCAATTTAAAAATTGATAAAACAATAGATTCTTTTTTTCCTTGAATTCTTCAATTAATTATTAATAAACAATGATCACATGCTTGTCATATTAACATTGTATCGATGCAAGAGTTCGCTCTACAGCGGTTTAGGTTAGCGGTTTAGCCAAGGGGCGGTTGCCTAGCGTGTTGCTTAAGTTATCGGTAAGAGACGCGATGGTAAACCTACATCCTGTCGATATCCGATACAAGATTTAATCGATCGTATCGATGTACTTCCCATGAGATGAATCAGTCGAGAACAGCGTTTAGATAGATTGCAATTTACGGTAAATTATTCATTTTTATTGACATATTTTTTGTATTGTCCAATTTACAAATATTTCAATAATAATAATACAATTTAGTGCAATGCCCAGCAGGCTTTTCCGTCATTGTATAAAGTTATGGCATATACGTTACGAAGAAATAAGCGCGGTCCGGAAAAAAAAACGCCGAACTTTACTCGTAAATATATTGGACATTGTACATTTAGTGTGTTCCCCATTGCAATATTACGAAAGTTAAATAACAGCACCGCAGAAAATCAAATAGCATACTGCCAGCGCCAATAAGCCGTCGTCGAAATTATATTGACAGAGAATGCGTCAATGGTGAGCCGCAAAAGCATTTTCCATTCCGAATCCGGTAAAATATTAACAGTTATAAAGGTGAATGCGCTTCCCTTCAGTTGTTGTTCAATTCCTCCCGCCTCTGAATGATTGCTGCAAAAACGTGATAGTTGGTTTTTGATAAACGTATGCAAATAAAACAATAAGCCCTTCACAATTGCGAAAGGATGGCGCTCAAATGAAATGAATAGTTTTTCGACTTGTTAGTTTTCTGATTGATCGTTTTCGATTGATGTTGTATTTCCGATATATAGCTGCAGATTTTAAATTCACTAAAATCCATTTGTGTTTTTTATTTATCAAACATTTTTCATGATTTTACCTTATAACACGGTTAAGACCCAGTTATTTTATTATATTACATGTTAGAGCAATAATAAATTAATTTTTGTCAATACAATAATATATGCAGCTTTCACTATAGTGAAATATTCCAAAGTTTCTTTTACTCTTTATTTATTGACGCATATCTATCTAACAATTGCATTGTACGAATATTCCCGTGGGATTGAATGCATGTGAAAACTTGTTGTGAATAAAAAATGCATTTTGATTAACGACCGATGAAAAATGAAGTTAATCATCACGACAATCGGTTATTATTCGATGATTTATGCGTATGGATCCGTAAAACATACAAGATAGGATCATGAATAAAAATGTAGATAATTCATTTTGATTTTACACATCAACAATCTTTTGATTGTCAAAAGGATATTTACATTTTCTTTCTCATATATTTAAAAGCGATTTTTTAAAATCACAATTATACGATAATTTATTTCAAAGTAAAGAAATCAATGTTTTTTCCGGTTAAATAACTCACGCTCATTAGCATCACCCATGTGCCAACAATAAACATTGACCCTCTTCAGTAGCGGTATTGTGTTAAAGTCTCAGTTTTTCACCTATTTAATCCTTTTTGTTCGCATTATTTGAACAACAGCTAAACATCGAAATGCAACTTTTCGTCGGACGAGCAATGCGCTAAGAGAGAGAAAGCTTTTTCTGCTCGTGAACTTGCAAAACATTATACCGACGAAAGTACAAGCTAATTGCCTATTCGAAACTTCCGCGGTACAATATGCAGCGTGGTGCAGCGAAAAAATAAAAAAATAACAAAAATAAGTCGAGGGGATGCGCTTTCATCGGCAAACCGCGCACTTAAGGCAAATTAAGCGGCCTGCGCGCCATAAACTAGAATCTCTCGTGGAGACACATTTGCGGGACAAACGGGGAACAACGTACTCTTCGTAAGAGGAACTGGCACGTTTATTTGAAGAAGTTGCACGAGCGATTGACCTAAAATTCCGAGAGCGTGTTTCGTTTGCGAGCGAGCTTTCGACAAATTCGTTGCTTCAGTTTCGTGAACGGGCTCGCCTGTCGTCTATTCGTGTTTCGCGAAAACTTGTTAGATCCCTATTTCCGCGCTACTTCGAGATGTCGAAGACGTCGTGCTTGTTGTTGCCATATCTTCTGTTTGCGGAAGTTTCTCAGCTAAGCTGCTAGATAGTTCTAAACAGAAAAATGTATGGAATATTATTTTCATATTTTTGTAATATGTTTCGTGATGTTGTATTTTGTTTTATATTTTTCATCGATGAAATTTAAATATGATGAATGAGTATAATCTATAAATGTGACACACATTAAAGAATAATTTATAGACAAATTAAAATGGATAGGAGCAATATTAACGGTATTACGTGTAACGTGATATAATATAAACACGTAATATGGTAATAAATTACATTTCCTTGATATTATTTGCATGATTTCTCTCGTTTTAATGCTGTAAATGTTTAATCTCTAAATTTACATCTATAAACAGATAGCAGTACTGTTTGCTTTTTGTTGCTTCGTGAAGCTCGCGTGTTTCGTCCCAGCCTGTAGGAAATTATAAAAGAGAATCGAGTAATCAATAAAATAAAAAATAAAATTGATCCATCGGAATATAGAAGATGAGGATTGCTCTTATTTCGTCTCGTAGAAATCATCGTCGTCTTAAATGCGTTAATTTGCCATTTAACATTGTCCGTCAATTCTATCCGCTCGCCAAATGCGTTCATCTTTGATGTCTGTCAGGCTCGCGAAATTCTCCACCGGTCTTCACGATCGCTCTTTCGAGCCCGAGCTCGGTTAATGGCTGTTTAAGAGCTCCGTGAAAAGCCCAGAAGCGACCTCGGAGCTCCTCGATATCTCGTCTATCGGAACTTCCTAAGGTAGTCATTCTCCCAGTTCACTCCAGGTCCCATTATTCTTCGCGCTAATTCGACGTCATGATATTAGCCTGAAACTTTCGCTCCGAGTCAATTCAAGCTTCTGTGAGTGGCACATAGGATTTTATGAGTTTTATGTAAGAAAATAATTGTATCTTTGGTTTAAAGATAAGATAACTCCGGAAAGTATTATTTGATTCGCAGATGGAAAATAATTGTGATAACGCTATTCTGTTTTATATCTTGTTGCTAAAGCTATCAAGATCATTTCGCATTTTTATATAACTATATTTTAAAGCTAATACAATTATTTTGCCATGATATATTAATATATTAATATATTAGATGTTCTAAAATTTTTCTTTACTACAATATTAATTATATATAAATTAGTGTAACATAATAATGTGTGGATAAGCCGATAATGAAACTCTTCGAATTAGAGAATTGAAATAACATTTTTCGAGTTTCTTCTCTAACATGTTCTCTAACGAGAGTTTTGAAGTTCTCCAATAGTTTTTTCTGTAGACAAAGAGAATTTGCTCAGGTTTCTTCGACAATCTTAGGTGCAGGAAAAATATTGTCTTATCACGATCGTCAAGAATCACGATTTTCGTAAAACGGTCATTGTCTTGCGACGTGCACCCTTTTTCTCGAACGAATCTCTTGTCACGTAGTGGTTGTAGCACGATGGTTCGGTACGATGTGGAACACGTCGGCGGGACAACTTTCCTTCCCGTAGCCGGCCGTACCAACACGGGCTGTAACCACTTTCCGGTATTCGCTTCAAGTGCGCGCTCCGATCGAGAAAATGGCCGGTAAGAACAAAAAGCGCTTATATACGTGTACGTGTTCCGCGATGTCGGCGGAATGTCCGCGCGCGCGTGCTCGTTCCGATTCACGCCAATATCCGATCATTAGAAATCGAATCTTCCGTCGTTTTCTTCTATAACTGGAACATTATGAGATTTCGTCTTAACAAAAAGTCCTGTTTCAATTTATTAACGTATCTTCCGTTTTGTTCAAAGTTTATTTCATCGATACCATTAGATATGAGAGCTCAATTTTTTTTAAATATAAGATGCCTAGAGAATACAATTGCATGTGGTAAAAGAGGGAAAGAATTCATTTATAATTTATTAATTTTTTCTTGAGAAATATCGCACCTTTGCTCTTTGAAAAAGATTATTATTACGCTTAATCTCTATAATGGTTTGTTGAATTTTTATATATTGTATATTTTATTAAGATATGGACACGATTAAATAATCCAATAATATTTTGTTAAAATTCTCTTTTGATATTTTTAATATTTCGTGTATGTGCATGTTTTCTTAATCAATTAAGAATGATAAAATTTGAAAAGTATTTAGAAATTTGAAGTGTTTACATTGTTCATCTTTTCTGAGCATTTGATTGATAAAATTGAACTAGAGAACTGTGTAAAGAAATGAAACGATTGGAAATGCGCAAGGAGAAAACATGCATGTATTAAGTATTAAACATAAAACACAAAATATTAAGAAACACGAGAGCTTGAACAAAATATTATTATTAAAATTTTAATTATTTTATTATACAATATTTTACGAATTGGTGGTAATTCGTATAGTTTTCATGATACATTCCACAATCTCGCTCGTCATTCGCACTATGAGATTTTATAAAGGCTCGTGTATGTATGTGCGTGTGTGCATACATGCGTGTACATGCATAATTCATTTTCCAATGTTCTAATAATCATAAAAGAAGGTAAAATTTACTCGTGGCATGTTGCTTTCGCCAACAGGCGTGCGAGTGCGACAGCCAGATTCGTTCGTGATGTCAACTGCAGTTTGCATCGTGCAATTCACGTGTGTGCAACGCGGTCGCGCGCCTATATATGTTTGTAGACTCATGTTATTGAGATTATTAACTATCTGTCGTTGGGTCGTGTAGCTTCCATTATTCGCATACACATATTACGCGATCACTCGCTTTCGGTCATAGACACACGAGAATACGAATCAGCATGCGTGTAATAGCCACGATCGATCTTATTTCTTGCACTGTTCAATTTTTCATTTTACGGACGACAATAACTTCGCAAAAAATCGGATGCAGCGACGAAAAAAATCTCGAGGGTTTATCATTTTGTCACTTTTTTTCGATGATGTTCATTAGATCTCAATATGCATTGTACCTACGTTATTTCATTTCTATAATTGAGTAAAAAGCATGCATGATTTGACAGTGCGATTATTAAAACAGTTAATCATTTTATTTGTTTGATACAAGTTTAATATTACTTTTGAAGAAAATTATAATACATTCCTTTCGAGTTTATAATAATATAAAAAGCTGTTGTTGCAAAATTTGTATATTTTCAGTTTTTTAAATGTCGAGTTTGCAATGATCAGGTTTGCGGTGTGTTGGTTTTACATTGTTAATGGAATATTATATATAAAATCAAATAAAATCTATTAGAAATGTTTGTAGACAAACTTGGTAAAAACTTAACATTTCTCTTACTTCTCAAGAGAACTTTTTCTAAAAGAGTTTTTTAATACATTTAATTAAATAAAAATTAATTGAAAATGTTACTTATAAAATGTTATTTATAGAAACTTATAAAATAAAATTATAATTATATTTATTAAACATAATCATTATTACATATATGGTTGTAAAAAATTCATGTTATTTTCATTACTGTTGTATTAATATCAACAAGTTTTCTCCGAGAAATCATTCTGAGAAATAATATTACAGAGAAAAATGGTCGTGAAAAGAATTGTTTTCAAGAGTATACGTAACATCGATACCTTTTATCAGTCGTTCGTTGCGCGATTGGTCTCGTGGAAACCATCGGGGCGAAATAAACACGCCCTTCGAGTCATCGATTCATACATTTACTTTGGACGGCAATGCTCGCTGTCGCATTTTCCGTCTCTTCGACCGGAAGCAGAAAGTTGCTCGAGGCGCAAAAATACGAGAGGTAAAGCATTGAGAGTCGCTTCGAGATGAAAGGAATTTCAATTATTAGCTGAGGGTCGTTTTATCTCGAAAAGCGAGATAGATTTTCATATTAAAAATATCACATCGAAATTTCGTGAGTTATAGATGCAAAAGTTAATCGAGCAAATAATGCAAAAGCTAACGAGATGTTTCGATAACTAACATAATTATCAATGGAAATAATTGTGTATCGCTAGTAATATTGGATAAATTATGTATTTTATTTGAAAAGATTATCGAGTATAATTTTTTTTTAATAAGTTTTGTTCCGCATCAATAATAATTAATCGAATCTTCCACATCAATAATCAAAAATCTTCTTTAGAAATATAAAATATATTTCATATAAAATCGCTGTGATCTGACATTATTACGACGTCTGTCATTGGGGATTATTTATAAGCAATTAAAGCATATTTGTTTGCATTTCTTATCAATCACAAAGAATGCAAATTTCATTATCTGTATGGCATTTCTTAGGCGTAATACGATTTTACAATCCATGCTACATTTCTTGTATTTTTTTCGCGAAATCACACGTAAAATCCGCCGGAAGGATAAAGTGACGCAGTTCGCTTACTAAAACATCGATCTCGCGTCTCGCCCTCGAGGGGTGCAGTACGCTTTATAGCTTACCGGGAAATGACCGGAAGCGCTAGTAGCGCGATCTACTCTTTGGATGAGGGAGCAAAAAGTGGGAAAGAGTGGATAAGAATCGAGGATAGCGAGTCGTCGACGGAAAAGAATTCTCGATTAAATCTGGCGACCGGCGGCCCCTCGACTAAACCGACCGTATAAAATTCAATCTCGCTTTTTTTTATATTTTTTTTTATATTTTTCTCGCCTTTCCATCTCTATCTGGTCACTTTTCAATTATTCGATTCTCGTAGAAACTTCTTTAAATCGTTTCATTATTAACATTTGCTATCTCGTCTTTGTGAATTTGTAAAGCAATGGAGATTTGTAAGATTAAGATACATTTAAATCCAAATATCATTTTATCAGTCTTTATTGTTATATTATTAATAAAGGCAATGAGATTATTAAATGGGGCTCTCAACAAAAAATCTCTCTGTATTCTGAAACGTCTAGTATAATGTACAAAAGAACAATAGAACATTTAGTTGAGCTATGATAAAAACTATATAATTAAGTTATTGGATTTCAAAAATATAATGAAAATTGTGTAAATTTTCAAAATTAAACAATGTTGATGAATAATCGGGCGAATGTATTTAATTTATCATGATATTATTTTGTGTATTTTGTTTTTTAATGCGGATTCGTTTGAATTTGGACTGCACGATTAGATCTTCTATGATTTATATCGTCGTCATTTATACCGTGTATAGATTACTATTTTATATTTATTTCTAGAATTCAATAAACTTGTCGCGAATCTTTTCCTGCTACAATGTATTTTATAAATTTTTATTTCACGAAATAAATCTTCTTCATGTCGAGTAACATTTATGTTACACATGCTACATATGCAAGTGAAAATATATTTGATTTCTCTCATCGTACATCTATTTTTAGCATACAATAAATGTGTCGTGCATTTGTCACTTTGCAAATTTATTTAACTGATTGTTATTTTATGAAATATATTATTCTTTTATTACTAGGAAACGTTTTTACACCAGTTGGAAATGGCAATATTTGATTTATTGCTTTACGTCTGTCTGTGTAAACCAATTAACTGTATTCTGAATTTATTACCTAACAAATTGACGCTGCAAATTTTTATTTCACGAAATAAAATTCTTCCACGCGTGGAAATAGTGCAAATTACAATTGTGGTAATGTTTGATTTATCTCAATGCACAGAATAATTCATGAATAATGATAGCTGTGGAATAATGATGACGTAATAATCGGAATGGCGAAATGTTGCCTCGATAAACTGATCTACGGGGCCCCACGCGAATAAGCTTGCATTGTCGCCGCACAAAGGATACTATTCACCTGCCACGTTTCGTAGATTTCCCACGAGTTTCACGGTACGAGCGTATAGAGCTTCGAAAGACCCGAAGCATTTTTCTTTTCGTGCGCCATCATTACTTTCGTATTCGCGATCTTCTGTTCAGCGATGCGCGGAAAATATATCATCAAGAAAAATGTATCGCGAAATGCGGACAATTCTCCGTAATAATCGATCGATATCTTACAATCAATCGCACACATCCGTCTGCTTTTTTTCCGAATCCTATATAGAAATTCTATTATAGTTATGTTATTCCTATCTTTTTGCAATTACATGTCTTTGATGATCAAATTCTGACAATATTGGAGAGAATATAAAACGCCGAGTATAAAAAGAATGTTTTTTTTCTTGTTAGATTATCGTTGAAACGCGATTCCAACGAGCAGTTGCAACTCTCAAAATATTGCGAAAAAATTTAGTATACATATGTGGGACAGTTGGATCCAAACACATGAGTATTTTCTCGTTCGAGTTAACTATAACTTTTTCGATTTTTTAAAGTTATATGATACCTTCAATCTCAAAAATGTGTGTATCGGGAAAAAATTGAATTTGTGAACAAATATTTTGTTCATGCAAAACTTCGATAAAACCACGCAACGGAATATCTATATCTTAGTCCGTCGCAGGTCTCTATGTATGTAAATTTGCTTGTTTTTAATCGTGATATATAAACAATGTAATTGTAAAATAAACTTGTTAAAGTAAAAATTTACTTTCAATTGGAAGTATTGAGAGAAAAATAAATCGGGTATTTTTTTCTTGAGCAGCTCGTTAGAATTTTCCATTGTGCAAATTTTCAAAAAGAACAAAATATTCGGTAGCGTTTTTTGATGCATGCTATATTTGAATTTGATTGATCGACTTTGGCTCTGTATCAGTTTATTCTGATAAGTCGATTGCTGTTAACCTGATACCGTAGAATGTACGCATCGAACATGACAGCGAAATTAACAATAAACGCATCATGCGTCACATCTTATCAAGCGTAGCTACTGCTGTTAAATGCCAGTTACACCTGTCAACGGTATTGTAAAATTTTACTGAAAACGATTCAAATAAAACGTCATCCAACAAAAAATGCGCATTTCATAAACGTCATAAAATATATTTATTTAACCATAAAGAAACAATATATAAGTCATATCTTTCCTATTTTAAGAAAAAAAAGTAATAGCAAAAAAGGTTTAATGTATAAAATACAGTTACTTTTTATCATAATATTTTTTTATAACTTTATTAGAGGGAAAAGGGAGAGAGATTTAAAACTTTATCCATTATATGAATAAATTATGCATGACATTTACGGAGATGCGAGAGAAAATGATTTTTCAAATAAATTTTATGTACTTAATTTTATTTTATATTTTCTCTTCTCTTATTGATAAAAATTAATTGTTTGTTGGCAGGATTATCTGAGAGTCGAACGAGACGCGAACCAAGTTAGAATGGTTCGAGGGTGAAATCGCTAAAGAGACGTTCGTCAGTATGTTGCGGATATTGATAGTAGTGACATGCATCAAGATATCGACTCTCGTCAGTGCGCAGTCGAAAGGAACTACTTCTTTCGACGAAGATGCGAATAGCGACGAACCTGACCATCCGAGTGAGTATTATACAAAATCACCATTTAATTTAATTATTGTTTACACTCGTAATGAATAAGTGTCAAATTTGCTTGGCACGTGATAACCAAGTAATTGATTATTTGACTTGTGTCAACGCGTCGGTATCGCGCAAACCAATTATTTAGAATACATATACTTAGTAATTTGACCGAGTTTCGAGTTATTACTTTATCCAGGTGAATAATGGTCAAATATTGACAAACATATACGAGTCGGCCAACTAGTTACAGCTCGGACTTATAGCTCAATTTATTCGTTAAAAAAAAAAAAAAAAACACGATAGTTTAATATCCGCGCGAATATTAGAGCGGATGGATTCGTAAATTCGAGTAATCGCAGAGTAATTCAAACATTTCCGGTCTGCTGGGAAGCGCAAAAGCACACTTCCGCTGCATTCGCCGTTAGTGAAACGAACGTAATGCATTTCTTCCCACACTCTCGCGCAGATATTTATATACATATGCGGAGCGGTTTATATGTATAGAGAGCGCCAGAGAAACAATTTGTTAAAATGGCCACGGGAAACATACAAGAATGCTCCTTTTACCGGTTGTGCTGTGCAAATCGGCCGTCGCGAAAGCCGTTCATATACGACGGCGAAATGGCAAGAGGTCAAACTACTCGCGCAAATTGCCGTGGCTGCGCGCGTCAAACTTTTTCCCGAATTTATTCGCGCACAGTTTGCCGGCACGGGACGGATATCAGGATTAACGTTCAAAGCCGATGAAGAAGGCGTGGGGTAAAAAGAGGGTGAAAGGGATCGAGAGATGAGCATGCTAACTTCGACGATGAAGTTCCTCGAAACATATCGAGATCGCAATTACCGGTCGGTTCGCGCAGCGAGATTCGATGGCGAAAGTTGCGAAGATCGTGGCAGAGAGACCCGGTCCCTCTTTAAAATTTCTACGCTTTACTCTCGCAGAGTTTTATCGAGAAGTTTGATGATCCTGTCGACACACGAGTGACATCTTCCTTTGGGAGGGATGAAGGAATAGGGGAGGAAAGATGGAATAACTTTCCGTCTCTCGTTTTATGCTGCGCGCTCTCTGGAACGCGCAGCTATCAATTTACTTTGAGTTCTATGAATTTTTATGGATTTTTTTATCGATGTTATATTAAGCGGTCTTTTATAATCCTGTCTTGTTATCCGCTTTCGTTTATATCCGCCGTTTCGTATCTTCGAGCTTATTTCGACTGAACGAAAAAAGAACACGGTTTGCTTGTTTTACTTTAATTACGTTTACTTAGTATTTTTGTAAATATTAGGTGTTACTTCATAGGTATCTGTTCTACATACATTCGCGCGCGAAACGCATGTTTATAACTGAGTTCTTTCAACTTGGAGGGATTTTAGAGTTCTTTATAAAGTTCATAAAATAATTAGTCAGAATGAAAGCAACACCGACGAGTTATGGGACGTCGCATGACGACTGGTCGTTGGAAGTTTATACGAGAAAAGCTCGTCGCACTTTATAAGTTCTCCGCACGAGGCCAAACTAATTAGATATGTATGAATAACCTGAGCGTTGGCCGGGAACATATAATTAATGCAGCCCACCGGCTAAGTGAGAAATTAATTATAATATGGAAATTGGAGTTGTGTGTGTGTGTGTGTGTGTATGTGTATATCTCTCTCGCCCGTTTTCACTTTCGCTCTTTCTCTTCTTTTCTGTCTCTATATGCTAAAACTCTACATGAGTTTTCGCGTAGTAAAAGATTTCTCGACGCAGATGCACGTGCGAAACGTGCAGATGCAACGAGCACGTGTTTCGTGTAACGGCATATATGTGACGCGCAGTGCTTTCTTGCCGAATATATCTCTCGCTGGGAAGGAAATCTCTTTTATGCTCGATAAAACCATCAACTTTCGTAGGGAAAAATTTATCGTCGCTTGCACGAATGTCAACGAAAAGTTTTCTGCAATTTTTTCCGAGTTTTTTACTTGGCTCTATCGCGTTAAATGCATTTCAATATGCAACATTAAAATTCGCAACGGTTTTGTTATTTATTGCTCCTATATCCTATATTTATTATAAATCAAATCTCGCGTAAGTCATATAAAGATTTCATTATTTTGTGCAGTGATATATGCACAATTCTTAAATAAAACAAAATAGAATCTAAACTCGAATAATGCAAGAATTTTCACATAGTTATATATTGTTTAGATAAGTATAGAGCAGCACAGTTGAACGAAATCTAAGATCTTGTAGCACTGTATGCTCGTATATACTTTTTCTCTTATCTCGTAGATACGAACTTTGTTAGTGAATTTGGCGAATTTTGTACATTCTTGGGGAAGTGTTTGCTCTGCTACAGGCATTACGTGCTTTCTGTTTGTACAACGTCGCGTTGTGTAGGTCAGTAACGACGAGGCGGGTCGATTCGCATTCCAGTCCCATGTCTGCACGTACGCTTTACACTATGCCTTCCTTGTCGGGTACGCTACCGGAAAACTCGTGTAATATGCAGGAAAGTCATTCTCGCAAAATATATTTAGAACATGATCAATTTTTATTGTATCTTAAATATTACAGTAAATATTCTTCGCAAAGTATTCTTGTACTTGAGATTAAAAAATATTAGTCTAGGCATCCTAAACAAAATCACGTGAACAGATAATTTTCAAAATTAAATATATACATAATATATTATATATACACATATATATATAATATATATATAATATAATATAATATATATATATATATATATATATATATATATATATATATATAATATATATATAATATAATATATATATATATATATATTCCGTGGTGTTTTTATAAAGTTTGTTTTGTGTTACAACGATGTAACTGTATTGGAATTTGCTCTATCTTTTTCCTCTTGAATTATAATAAAATACATACTTACTTGTGGCTAACGACAGATTGCAAAGCAATATAGAATAATAACGAAAATGAAGAGAAATACCATTAATGTATTAAATTCGCCGCGCGAAAGAAAAGAAGATTTCAACCGCGATCGGTTTAGCTCATCGGTTAACTACTAGGGTAAACGGTAACCTTGTTGCGAGATCGGGCCCACAGGAGTTATCCTCACCAACAAGAAGCGAGTTTCGGGTGGAACAACTCCTCGAGACTACCTAGCCGAAGTTACGGGTTAACGATAATCTCGTTGACGAGAGTCCGGCACACACTGAGCCTTATATAGCGATAAGCTCGACAATTTTTGAAGTTAAAACCACAACGACGCAAAAGTGCGAAATCCTGAGCTCGTTAAAAAAGTTCTCAGATGGTAGCTCATCGTGATTCGCGAACTTCGTTGTCCTTCTTTGGACATTTCACGGTGATCTTGAAACCGATGATCTTTTAGTGCTTTCGGGAGAAAAAAAAAGAGAAAAAATATTAATTAGATTTTTTAAACTTTTCATGATTTTATGCGTTCTTAAAATTATATAAGATTTTAAAATTATTTAATAATGATGTTTAAACAAAGTTTATTTTAAATGAAATTACGAATGTGGCTTCCTCTTTATTTTCAGACTAAAAACTACTCACGCCTCGAAACTTTTTTTTCTTTTAAGCGCAAGAAGAAGATAGTTTTGTTCTCGAAGCTAGTGAATTTTATGAAACAGCGATACGCGAGATCTCATTTTCATAGTTTGACTCTTGGGTGCGGAACTTACTCGATTAAGAGCTCCGCGCTCAGAGTTGCAAAAATGCGTCGCGCCGTTCGGTTCGCAAATCGAGGTCGCCGCGGTCAACGGGCGTCTCTCGCTCGTTAACGAGTTCGCGAGTTTGCCAAAGTCCCGTCTTGGGTACCCCTGACAACGAGTTGGGGATTCCGCTAAACTCGTTGCTTTGGTAAACTCAAGGACACTTTGTTAAGCTTAATCTCCTTTCACGGTTATTGGGTTCTTTATAAACAAAGAGATACGAGAGTCTGTTGAAGGGGGACTTAAGTCCTTCGGGATTGGATGTACTGTTGGTCATATTGCACAAGGTCTCGCGGAAAAAACTCGCTTTGGTTTTTCTCAAGTTTGCATATTTTCCGCGAAATAAGCTTCATTGCAATATTTTTTTTTTATACGAGAATGGAGAGATCAATAGTGAGAAAGGTGGCGTTTTTTGCAAAAAACTAAGAGGTGCATTCGCGCCTATTACTGGGTGCTCGGTGGGCGAGTTTTCATGCAAATTCATTTGAATAGACCTGCCAGTGGAATAAAAGCACAGATATAGCAGTGCTTTGTTTCCCTACAATTAATTGTTGACATTCTATTCGAGACGAAATTGAATGTAATGAATAAATCTTGAGGAAATAAGCTCTTATAAAAATGGATCTTTAAATATTCTTTGCAACGAAAAATGCGCTTTTGGAAAGATTTTAATTTTATGTCGTTATTAACGCGCATCCTGGGAACGCGACATACATAGCCATTTTGTTATGACGGTCTGACAACCGGTAGCAGGTCTTAACGATTATCATCGTTTTAATGAAATTTTGCTTCATCAGCATCTCATAAAAAGCGGTTAAGAAAGAAGTTTTTACCATGACGGTGACACAAAAGAGCTAACTTGATAAAGAGCGCCTTTGTGAAGCCCAGCAGATGATGTGCCAGTGGTTTTTTTTTTACATAGTACTTTACTTAGGATCTAAAACTCACGTTTGCTTGCGGTTGAAATAATGCATTAAAATTCCGAATAGTATTTTTAAAACGTCACAATGAAAATATAGAGAAATATATACTTTTTATAGTTTCTTTGATTTGAGAATTAATTAACCGCTCACATTTGTTCTTTCATTAATATGTTATTTTGAGTTTGTTTCTCATTCAGTGATAATCAACCGTGCTTCTTTTTATCACTTGATAGGATTTGAATAGAGAACGATTTAAATTATTCGATAACAACGTACTGTTTTTGTGTGAAATCGGAAATGTAGATATTGTATTGTATTGTCATTTACCATGGTCGATGTTTAACAATATGGCCTCTTGAATAATGTATGCTAA